TCAGTTCTGAGTGACAAAAAAGCAACTCTGGGGGGAATACGAAGCAAATTCCACTAAATGGATGACTTCCAAATGGGCATTTTGTGGTAGGTCTATTTTTTATCTTCAAATTTAATTTCCTTCATACTCTGTGTGAGGGAAGAGAATTGTAGCTTTCAATAGCAGGGCAAAAAACCACTTAATACATTATATTCTCTTTTTTTAGCTCATAACTCAGGCAATGACATTATATCTTTACATAATCTCTCATTTTATACCTAGGACCAAGTTCTAATCTCCACTGCAAAGGAACAGTCTTGCTTGTGCTGCAGTTAGTTTTGAGTTCTTCAGTCAAACACTGAAATTTGAGGGCACCTTTGCCATATTCTATCCCTTGTGACACTTAGTTCCTCGAGTAAAACATTGGCTACATCCACACTTTCTTTTTTTCCCTCTATGAATTGTTGATAGTTGGTGCCAAGAAAATCCAGGCAGCAAATAAATAGGATTTGAAGCTGGTTTTCTTCCTGAGGTTGAAGATTTGTGGGCAATGAAAACACCTATAGTGCTTAGCATTGTACAATGTACAGATAATTGGGTGAGGTGTTAGCAAACTGTTTACTTCTCAGCAGGATATGGTAGCTCCACATCTAGACTGCCTCCCTTGCCTGGTTTAAAATGAACCTGGACATCTGTCAGTGTCATACAGAACAGACATAACCTGTGTCTGTGAACAGCAGTGACTGTGCAGAAGTTGTAACTCCTTGTTTCTATTGCTGGATTCATGATCAACTTAAATAATGTGCTGGGAAAGTCACTTTGCTTCTCAGTAGTTGGATTTTGACTTCCCTTTGTCAGATCTGTCTAGTACCTTTAAGACTATCGATCCCTACCTTGGCCCAGTCTCTGATAAAGCCTCTTTGTCAGTTATGGAACAGCTGGTTGTGAAAACAGTGCAAGCTGAATGTGTCTCTTGTGCTTTCTCCTGTATGCAGAAAACCTGCTGGTTCTTACTGTTGCCACCAAGCAGACTGAGGGATTCCAGCGCTTCAGAAGATCAGCCCAGTTCTTCAACTACAAAGTCCAGGTGATGACTAGCAGCCTCCATGGTGCTTGCTCAAAGGGAATTTTGAAGTGTGGAACAGATAAGACTTGGCCACAAAGTGATTGTCCATCCCAGGGGATGGTTCAAAGGCTGGTATATATATCTACTCCATCTGTTCTGATGCTGGTTTTTTTGTTGTCAATTATACTGGGAGTTATCAGGTTGTGGGTTCTGGTTCTTTCCTGTTAGTCTTGCTGGGAAAGTGACCGTTCAGTAGACCCTGTGCCTGTTGTTCTTTAGGTGCTGGGGCTGGATGAGGAATGGCAGGGTGGAGATGACAAGAAGCCAGCAGGAGGTGGGCAGAAGGTCCGTCTCTTGAAATCGGCTTTGAAGCAGTATGCGGACAAGGAAGACTTGATCATCCTTTTTGTAGAAAGGTAATGGGTTGGAAAGTATTTGCCATTAACTGAATCATAAGGCTGTTTGGACGGGTTCTTACTAAGAAGAAATTAACTGTGAAGTAGATTGCTTTGGAAGGTGTGTCCAGACCTCCTCTGTTTTTTTTCTCCCTGAATTCTCTGCAGTTGCCTGAGACTTGCTCAGAGCTGCATTCGTGGCAGCTGGGAAGGTCTGATCAGAACAGGCAGATTCCAACTCTTCCATAAAGTTGATAGTGTTATGCCTGTTTCTGCCAGGGTGGAATTTGGCTGCCTCTATCTCCAAAGAATGAACAGACAATTTCTGTGGATCTAGGCAGTCCTTTACCAAAATTATTTGTTTTATAAGGTGAGGCAGGCTATAAAACAATCCTGAAAGCCAAGAATGAGTCCACCAGAGAAATGTGAAGAGGGAAAAGGACAGTTTGGAGTCTCAGTGTCTTTTCATATGGCCAGCAACAGGCAGGGCTGACATCCCTGTATCTGTCTCGAGCTCCCATGGCAGGGAGATCATCTTTTGCAGCTCTGAGTATCTATGTGTGTTTAGAGAAGTTGGGAATGATTAATCTCTGGAATGAGCAACTTTTTCACTCAACTAAAATGAGTTTGAAGTATGCAAATCCTCTTGCAGAAAATGTAAGGCTCATTCTGGGAGTGTCTTCTGGGAATTAGTTCTACCCAGTGCTGAAGAGATAGTGGCTGGAGTGCAGCATCCAGTGACCAGCATCCAGTATAGATTCCTCCTGAAAATTTGCAGGGAGCTCAGTGGAGAGTGGCAGGATGCCAAAAGATGTAAAAAGCATGACTTATGGGTTTGTTTAATCTAGAAAGGAATGGCAGAGTAATTCTTCCTCCAGTAGGTAAAAGTTGTTACAGTGAGGGCACCAAGGCTTCACAGTTCCAAACGGGGCAAAAGCAAGGAGAGATGAGCATGTTTTGCAGCTTGGAAGATCATCAGTGAAAACTTTGTGAAAATAAGAATGAGTGTAAGCTGTCCCAAGCCCGTGTGGAATCCTCTGCAGTGGAAAGTAATATCTTCCACTCTATGAATAAGATTGCACTTTAATTAGCTATAATTATGACAAAAAGTACTACTGTGAAGCAGAACTAAAAGGAAGGGATTCCTAAAGAATTAACTGTTTCTAAAAACTTTTCACGCTGACCTGTTTTTCTGACTCGATTCCTTTCTGTCCCTTTCTTGTCTGTCTTTTTACTCTAGCTATGATGTACTTTTTGCTTCGGGCCCCACAGAACTGCTGAAGAAGTTCAAACAAGCCAAGAGCAAGGTGGTCTTCTCAGCAGAGAACTACATCTATCCTGACAGAAAGTTGGAAGCCAAGTACCCCGAAGTGCGAGATGGAAAGCGCTTCCTGGGTTCTGGAGGTAAGATGGAGAACCTTCTTCCAGCTGAGAACCTCTCTTAGCTTTTTCCTCCTATTAGAAGGCCTCTGGGAGAAGTAGGTGGGACCAGGTGTGGAAAGCATCTTTATAGAAGACGGTGGAAACTGAAGCCCTGTGCATAACTGACTGTAATGGAAAGACTAACAGTGCTTCTGTCTTTTACCTGCAGAAGGGGACATAGCTATGAATTTGCCTGTAGAGGGTAGGAACCTGCTCCCTGTCCCTTCTCTCTTTTTAGTGAGACTTGTCATTCAGGGTGTGGATATCTGAGCTTTCTCATGCTGAAGGTTATAGGTTTAATCCTGGTGTCATTCCATGTTGGGAAGTGCAGTCTATACATGCCTTTGCTGAAAGCTGGTGTATCTCTGCAGCAACAGAGGGTGGAGTGAGACTTTGTGTGAAAGAAGTGAGAGTATGTGTATACAGGAGTACCTCCCTTTTTTGGTTGCCTGGGTTGAAACACTTCTTCATACTTTTTCCCACAGGCTTCATAGGTTATGCTCCAAACCTGAAGAAGCTTGTGGAGGAGTGGAAAGGGCAGGATGATGACAGTGACCAGCTCTTCTATACGAATGTTTTCTTGGATCCAGAAAAAAGAGTAGGTGTAGCTGTTTTTTGGAATTAGGAGGAGTTATCTGAGAAGCATTGCTATTAATCCTCTGTGTAGTATCCCTGTTGTCAGTAAAAGAAGTTAATTGCACACATATCCCCGCTTAATTACTGCTCTGGCATCCTTTGAAAAGGCCAGTAGTATATCTAGTTACCCATTTCCCTTCTAAAAATTTGCATTCTAGCCACTACCCCCTTTTTCTGTTATTAGCAACTTTTATCTTTAAGTTTAAAATGTGAATGGGAAGATAGGTGTCTTAAAACAAGTCTTACTAGGAACTCATACAAGTATCTGTATGTGCTGGTGTTTAAAGCTATTGAATGTGACAGAACCAACCAGTGTCCTCCCAGGGGATACGAAACCCAGAGTTTAGGTGTGTATCCTCCCTGCAGAGCGCGATGCTGGCTTAGAGGTACCCAGCCTAGCACTAAAGTACAGTTTAGGTAAAGGGGCAGATGAGGCCTAAGCAGATTTGAAGCACTGAAAGAGACAAAAGTTCTCTGCCACTGTTGTGCCACAGGACAGGGACTGCAGGCATCACAGTAGGTAGTCTTGCTGGAACAAAGAGGCTGCCACTGCCTTCAGCAAACACCTCCAGATCCTAGTTGACAAAACCCGTATCAGCCTGTGTAGCTGTCAGGTAGTATCGTAGAGGAGCCTGGAATGGACCCTGGAAGGATCATTGCCATTCCAGCACCGTATGGTGCACTGGCCGAATCATCCAGCCCACAGGGTGTTTCTGCTTCTCTTGTCCCTGTTCAGTTCTGCATTACAGCCATGCAGTCTGTGCTTGTGGGACACCACAAATGCATGGGAACTAAGAAGTCAAACTGTGACAGTAAAGTCAAGAGGAAACATTAGAAATAGGAAACTGCTTTCAGACTGATGAGAGAAGGAGTTGTGCTTTTTTACCAGCAGGGCTCATAAAAAATTCAGAACAGCTGTACTTTTCTGCTTCACCAAATCTGAATATGGCCTGTGATATTTTAACATGAACAGTTTTTTTAATGTTCTCATCTGCAGTTCTGGCCCTGTGCCACACAAAGGCTGAGTAATTCCACTGACTTGGCATTCAGACAGCGGATGTTAGCACCCTGCTGTCCTTTCCAGTAATCCATCTTAATAGATGCCTGGAGGGACATTGAATTCTGTTAAGTCAGAGCTGCATTTTAGTTCAACAAAAATCCAGTCAGAGTGTGACTTGCATCAGGGGATAAAAACAAAAGTTGCACAAGCTGGCCTTGCACCCTTACTGTGTTCTGGTTTTACACTGATACCTTGGGCATCACTCGGTGTAACTCTTGCCCTGTGGATAGATGGC